GCGCCACGTATTCCCACTCGTCGACGCTCGCAACGTATCATCACGCCCGCACTGTTTTTCCGTCCCACCACCTCGATTACGTTATCCAGGAAAAATTATACGCAAGCGTCGTCGTACAAGCGTGAACAAGGAAGCGGTCGTACCATGCCGCGGCCGTAGAACACCTCTAATTGAATCGAAAGCCGGCCTTGCAGCCAGAAAACGAACCGTGCTCTCTCCCCGGGGAACACGATCTGGCGATATTTTTACGGCGACTTCCACCGCCGGACGATGCCAGGCGCACACCGCCTCGCGGAACTGGTTGTACCCCTCTCGAATAATTATTCCCTTCCAGGTAAACGGTCTTTATCTCCTCTCTCTCTCTCTCTCTCTCTCTCTCTCTCTCTTTCTCTCTTTCTCGAACGTGTCAGAGCGTCGTGGCCAGAACGCGTTCAAGTTCCTTCCCTTCCCTCTCCAGCTCCTTCCGTTGCTTCGCTCTTTGCATCGAGCCGCGTTTTTCCTCCCTCATTTTCTCATTACGATTCTCAAGGTTCACTCCGCGAGAGATCCTATCTTTTCGCTGTTAATCGTACAGATGCCCCTCGACGCACGTTACACGCTCTTTTTCCCCACCCTCCGCGCCACACTGTTTCAACGTTAGACGAAAAGTTCCGAAAAAAGTTCCCAAGTCCATCTACCTTAAAATCAAGATATATTTGCAAGATAGAGGAGGTTTGTGTTGTGAGAAATTTATATAACATTTTAATATATAATTATTATATTAATTATTTATTATTTATATATTGTACAAATGTATAATATATAATATTATTATATTATTATTAGTATACATATAATATTATATATATATTACATATTATATATTATATAACATTATTTATTAAATATTATATATTTTATATATATATATAATATTATTTATATAACTGAATAGTAACGTGGTAGTGTAATTTTTTTTGTTGTCGTTTCCAAGGATGTATTTACCACAAAAACTATTTAGAAAATAACACGTTTTTGACGGCTACAAAATGGACTTGAGCCACTTTCAAAATGAAAATTTTTATCATTCTATCAACCAGCTAATCTCAGCGATTTTAAATATATTAGTTGCAATTTGTTTAAAAATGAAAAGATAACGTAGAAATGCAAATATTAAGCTCGATTCTTTTTGGACTTAGGCCACTTTGTGTAAAATAAACCGCTCATATCTTACATATCGACTGTTTTTATTTTCCACCTGATTGCTCTAGTTTGTAATTTAATCGTTTGTTTCACACTGTAACAGTTGCTCTGATTTTATGTTAATAATTGTCTTCTGTTAGGTAAAAGAAGCATTCTCTTTACCTTGTTCCGCGTAATTAGCTTGATGCTCTGCGTTGCTTTCTTCTAAATCGCGTTGCAGCACAGTTATTATTATTAAATCCTGAAATAGGTCATTAGTTATGTAATTACAGAAGAAGGATAACGATAAATTATCATTCTTGGAAGTGTTGCCTTATATAAGCCAAGATTGTTCTATATTCGTTGTTCATCTTTGCATGGAAAAGTGACCAGTTCGTTACCGATTGCGTCACGAGTTACATACGTCCCTCCTGTTCGTGTAACAGCTCGTTGCAATACGCGCAGACACGTTTAATAGCACCCGTTTCACTCTTATAGAAGATATCGATATTTAACAAAATACTAAAATAGAATTTACCAGCGAGAACCAAAATGCGGGAAATAATTGTGACGCTTTTAAACGTATAATTGGACAACTCGATAACTGATAGAGATAACTGTGACTAGACCAGAATCTTGCAAAATTGACATGGCGTGTGTCTTGGATTCGAGTCAGTGCCTACTTGAATCACGTAAGTATGAAGAAAATTTTTACAACAATTTTACCAATATGTAAAGTTTCATCTTCTTGTAACGATTCTTAGATTCTCGGTTTTAATTAAAGGGATCGAAGTTAGTATCGTTTTTTTTAAAAAATCCTGTTCAAACTTATATATTTTGTACAAAAGAAATCAGTTTTTATAGAAAAGAACATTTTTGAATGGCGTTCTCGCCGGAATTTTAGAATCTGTATCCATGGAAACAAATTATTTAATTAAACATTCATTTTATATTTAAATAAATATATTATTATGTTTATTTTTAATTTTTTTAATTTAAATGAACATATTATATTTTTTGTTTTTAATTTCTTTTATTTAAAGATAATTTCGAGTACCATGCATTCAGTATCGGTATTTGGTACAAAATATCGAGAACGTTTTCAACATTGACGAACAAATTATCTGTCTCTCCGACAGAGAAATTTTTACTTTTATAAGAGAGAGTTCTTTCTTTTTAAAAACATTTATTTATTATCCGTTCTCATCGAGACTCGTAACGTAAGAACATCTTTCTAAGAAAAAGTTCTACGATCCAGGCAGAACCTATTTGAAAGTTCCTCGACTTTTTCAATCCCAGTTTCTGACCCTGTCTTTCTGTTTTTGAAAAACTCAATCTCCGTGATGCGATCAACTCGGTACCAGTCCGATCGTAATTCAACGAGTGACGGATCTTATAGCAACTTGTTGCAGAGGGGTAATTACGATCGATTAAGAAGCACGTTGCTAGCTAATTGCCGGTAAGACGATGCGCGCTTTTGCTCGTTTTGGCTAATTGAATCGAGAAAAAAAAAAAAAAAAAAAGAAAAAAACGAAGAAAAAGATCGTGCGCGTCGAGACAACTACAGTGGTGCCCTCTGCTATATTAATCGTAACAGAAAGCGGACGCTTAAGAGGGATGGTGTGTTCTGCGAATTGGCACTCTTAAAGAAAGAGTGGGGATGAGCGTCGATACCAGCCACGTGCAGTGAATTTCAGTATTGTTTAACATATTAAATGTGTGTAAATTTAAACAGTTTGTACAGTTTGTAACAATGTGTTACATTTCAACAGTCTGTTTGAATTGAATGCATAGTTCAAACTATTCTAAATTCAATACGTACGTACTTTTAAACTAAACCAAGCAATAAATTGTAACAAGGTAATAATTATCAAATGTAATTGTAATTAACCTAAAGTTTCTCGAAAATTTATTGAAGTTCCTACAAAAGTGGTTGTTGATCAATAATTATCAATAACCGAACGGAAACCTTGAATAAAGGATGTAACCTCGTTACATTTTCATCAATATTAAACTAACAATACACGTGTTAATATTAATACATGTAAATTGGATATGTATTTAATATATTTAATACATTTAATATTTTACTATATTTAATGTATTTATAATAAAATTTGCCCAATGCGTGTCCAAAACAATCGCAATGCGCCGTATTATCGGTATCATACGTTGCTTGTTTCGTTTCATGTTGCGGCCGCACAGTAAAGTAGCGTAGAGTGGGGGATCGGTCCCAATTCTAAGAATTGGTGGGGATAGAGACGGACGCTTAAGCGAGCAGACTATGGACACTGTTGACACAAGTGGTAGGCGTTCATCGTTAACCTGGCGCATTTAATTCAACAGGCGTGCACGTGTCTGTTAATAAACTGCGAAATTCAATCGGAACGGCGACGGTGGCTGATTTTAATGCGTAACGAGCTCACCAAGCGCTAATACCGAGCTCGAATTAACCGACAAGTTGGACAGACAGCGCTCGCTCGAATCATCTGCTAATTATGCGGGACAGTTTCTTCTTCTTCTTTCTTTTTTTTTTTTCTTTTTTTCTTTCAATCGAATCGGGAACGATCGGAATTGCTCATTTACGCTTACCAACGATGCAAATCACGACCGGTGTTGCCTCGCGGATTTACATTTTCATCGCGATCTGCCCACACGTGCTACACTTCGAAATGAAGGGGCAGAGTGAACGGTGTTTTAACCTCTTGACTGTAAATGACTGAGTATACTCGGACTCGTGCGAGAAAAATAATAACAATTTGTTACTTGAATTAAATTTTTCGTGAAAGGTGAAACATATTTTTAAATTTTAGACATTTTAGAATACTTCGAGAGTAGGTTTTTTTTTACATTGTTTCTAAATATTAATCTTAATTATTACTAAACTGAAGTTACTGAGTTTTGTTTAATTCTTTTTACATCATTTCTAAATAATATTAATTGTTATTAACACTAGAATTACCAAAGTGGTATGTATATGGCAAAGGAATATAGGTTATGTTATAATAAGTCAAATTATTGTCATTAGATGACAGCGTTTATTAAATTTGAAGTTACTCTATAACTAGAATGTAGGTTATATTACAGTAAGTCAAATTATTGTCACTAGATGACAATGTTTATTAAATATTTATTAAATTTGAAGTTACTCTATAACTAGAATGTAGGTTATATTACAGTAAGTCAAATTATTGTCACTAGATGACAATGTTTATTAAATATTTATTAAATTTGAAGTTACTCTATAACTAGAATGTAGGTTATATTACAGTAAGTCAAATTATTGTCACTAGATGACAATGTTTATTAAATATTTATTAAATTTGAAGTTACTCTATAACTAGAATGTAGGTTATGTTACAATAAGTAAAATTATTGTCACTAGATGACAATGTTTATTAAATATTTATTAAATTTGAAAAATGTTTATTAAATTTAAAGTTATTCTATAACTAATATACATGTTATTATAAATTAAATTATTATCACTAGACAGCAATGTTTATTAAATTTGAAAAAAAAGAACGACATTACTTATGAATACCCTAACACTTTCACACGCGTGTAGTTCGAGCATGTCGAGCCGTGAGTTTCGTGAAATTGAACGTCCGCGAGGATCGCTGGCCAGAAAAAGTGTGCTGGGCGGATGTAAAAGAATGGAGAAGCGAGGGCGACCGACGACGACGACGACGACGACGACGACGAGGAGAAACAGAAAAAGGTCGCGCGAGCACGACACAAAGCCGCCGCTGCTGCTGCTATTTTTGTGCGTGAAAGGTTGCCTTGGTGCTGCACCGGTGGACGAAGAAACGGGAGCAAGCGAGAAACGACCAGAGCGAATGACCAAGACGAGGCTCGTGATACCAGGACGAGAGGTAGAGGAGAAAGGGATACCGAGAACATCGGTAGCGAACGACGATGACAATGTCTCTTACCTGGTACGGTCGACGTCGGGCCCGGGAAGCAACATCCTTAATTCGTGGACGACGTGGATGACGTTGGAGCGATGGGTGATACGGGGGATTCAGCAGCCAGCACAGTGGAGAGGAACAATCCAGCTTTGTCCTGTCAACTCTGTCTGCGGCTAATGAGCCTTTCCTTGCGATCTTCCTGCGATCGCTCTCAGCCTTCCTGACCCCCCCTCTCTCTCTCTCTCTCTCTCTCTCTCTCTCTCTCTCTCTTTTAGTCGGGTCCGCGTCACGGCCCGATACCCGCCAATAAACCGTTTAATTTTGCACCATCTTCACCGTCTGGAGTCCGATCAGAATTGCAGCAGCTCCCCAGTTAAGTGTCCGCACTTTTCGCCAGTTAAACGTCTGTCGCTGGTCCCTACTCTTGAAATTGGGACTGTCCCCCATTCTATGCTACTATGCGGCCGCGTGAAACACGAAGCAAAACAAGCGATATGTGATAACGATATTTTGGTATATTATGATTGCTTCGTACACATATCGATCAAATTATATATTAAATATGTTGTATTGTGTATTGATACGATTACAGAATGATACAACGTGCGTTGTTTGTTTAATATTGATGAAAATGTAACAAGGTTACATCCTTTATTCAAGGTTTCCATTCGGTTAATTATTGATAAACTACTTTTATAATAGGAACTTTAATAAATTTTCGAGAAACTTAATTAATAATTAATTACAATCATTTGATAATTATTACCTTGCTTTATTTAGTTTAAAAGTATGTATGCATGAAATTCAGAATAGCTTAAATGCGTACAATTTGAAATGTTGAACTGTATATATATTTGGCCTTGTTCGAAGGAATCTTGACCGCTCGAGCCTCAGAATTGGTAGGCCAAAAATTACTTCCCACTAAGATAATAAAAAATAAAATAAAACAACACTCTGGCGGCGTTGAACATTTGAAAGGAATAATTTTTAAAACATAATGGAGAAGATTACGTTTGAGCTCGAATTCAATTTTTGTTTGAACTGAAATTTAAATAGATTCTTCTTACATTTTGATGTTTTACTTAAAATAAAAAATATGCAGGAAGAAACTTTTGGCTCACCCTGTACATACCGTGTTGTACCCTTGTACCTCGCTTCATCAACGATTCGCTAGATTTTGGAATCCAGGTCGCCAAAATAATTAGCTATCTCGTTCAATTCGAGACTGTCGTTAAAATTCCCATCGGAAACCATTGAAATCCAAATAAACAGCGAAACTCTACAACGTGCAAAATTCCATTCGCGTGTATTTTACGAAGAGTCAGTGAAAAATACGCAAAATCACAAAAATGTCCGGCAAAAATTATAAATCGCTTCGACCGCTGTTGGGAGGTTCCAGTGTTAAACAGGTGTAACAACGTTGGCGAACGTTGTTTGCCCGTTATCATTAAGCCGCGCGATAGAGACAATGAAACGCAGACAGAGAAACGCAGACGCACGTGGCGGCGAATAAAAGAAAGAGAGAAAAAGTGATGGTGGTCGAAAATAAATGAGCGCGGGTTGTCGGCCCAGGAAGAGAGATCGGTGCCGGCGATACGGATATGGAACCGTAATATTCGGCAAGGGGAGGAGAGGGAGAGAAAGAGAGAGAAAAAAATGCAAAGCAGCGTCGTTTAAACGCGTGCAACGAAAAGGACTACTGCGCAGGAGTGACAGGGTGAAAGGACAAGGGGGTGTTTGTGTCGAGGGGGGATTCGCGAGGAGATCAAGGGTCACCGGACACGACGCGATCGCGTGAGATTAGGCCCTTTCACGTGTGTGACTCACGCCGCCGGGGAAAGTAAATGAGTGCAACTGCACCGGTGCCTTCACTTCCTTTCTTTTTTTCTCTCCCTTGCTTCTTTCTTCTTCTTCTTCTTCTTCTTCTTCTTCCTTGTTTCTTTCTGCCTATCGCGACGAAGCTTGTGCCCCCACCCCCACTCTGTTATTGCACGCCGACCCTTTCACTCTTTTCACGTGCGGCAATCGCGGCATTAACTTATCACCGGTTACACGCACGCCGATCGAATCGAATCGGGGAGAGGCTAATGCGAACTTCAAACCTCCCTTTTCTTCCTCTCTCTTTCTTTCTTTCTTTTTTTTTTCTCTCGTTGTTGCACGCTTCGTTGCCTCGTTTACTACAAAGTTCCTTTCCTTCGTAAACGGGGGGGGGGGGATGAACGGCGCTAATGAAATTTCAATATGTTTCGTACGAGTCCAGCTGTGCAAATGCTGTAATAAATTAAATGTTCTTCGACTGTATCGTTTCACACTTTAATAACACAGTCGCAAAAAAAGAGAAAAAGTTTCTTCTTCTGAGAGCGAGGTTACCCAACGTGACCGACCATACGGCGCAATTAAAATTCGAATTCATTAACAGTCGAGCAGGGGAGTGTTATTATACTCTAATGTGCTGCGTCGAAGCCTATTAAAAAGAATTCCTTTGGCTGGTACCGGGGGCCAGCGTCTTAAACTCTTGAGTGGAAATAATTAATAAATAATATTTAAATGTTTAAAAATCGTATAAATTTCTTCTAACGTGTAAAAAAAAATTATTATGATATTTACACATTCTCTTGTCTTCCTTTCTATCAAAAATTGTGTCATTGCAGACAACGGGTGCTAGGCGTTTTGTGAAAGAATGCAATAGTTGCTCTAACTAAAATTATTCTATATTATATATAGATATATATAAATATATTATATATAGAATAATTATTATTATATTATAATATTATAGAATAATTTAGTAACAGCAACTATTGAGTTGCTGTTACAAAAGAGTTATAAAAAAAAAACTAAGTAATATTAAAAAAGAAATTAAATATTTTGTTAATCTTGAACTCTTTAGTAACAGCAACTATTGAGTTGCTGTTACTAAAGAGTTATAAAAAAAAAACTAAGTAATATTAAAAAAGAAATTAAATATTTTGTTAATCTTGTTCGTTATTAATTTCCATTGTATCAAGAAATTTGCTTTTCATTTTCTTAATTTCATTATTAGTTAAAGAGGATATTTTTCAATTTTTATTCATTATTATCATTACCATATAAATTTGTTCTACCACAAATGAAATAACATCCACAGTCATATAAATATATTAAATAAAAACTGAGGGTACTTTTATTTCTGCGATGACATCTCGCATAGAGTTGCGTTGAATCAAATTGCCTGCACACGCGCGTTTCTTCGAAAATAAATCGTAAGGCAAGGGGTTAATTAAACGCTGCACAAGCTGCTCTGTCGCCCGTCGAGTAATTGTACATTAATTTCGCGCGCACGAGAGGACGAGAGATCGATCGGCAAATGGACGTTCCGCTCGATCCCCCGAGTGCAAATTTATGCTCGACTTTGCCGCGTACTCGCACGCACGGAGTTTTCGGCGCGGAAGTCACATAATTAATGCTCAACGCGGCCTGGTTTCCGAAACGATCGACCGATTAGTCGAACGATCTCGCTCTGCGACGTAATTCAAGCGAGTCGATAGCCAGACATCGGTAGCCCGCGTTTCGTTTCGGTTCGACCGTGCTTGCGCCACCGTTCCGATCCCTTTCGATTTCACGTCGAGATCGACGCCGATCGATACGGCAAATTATTGGTTCCACGCGCTATACACGTACACACACACACACACAGGCACGCGTACACCGAGTCTTTTGATCCGTTTCATTCGCTTCTCCGTTAACACCCCCTCGATTCCGATGACGTGCAAGTGATTTCGCCCTACCTCGTGAATATTCATTCCGCGCCGTGTTTCCCCGTTAAAATCGCTAATTACTCGATTTACTCTCGATACCTTCGAGCTCCGAACTTTTAACGCGAAGTTTCTGTCATTTGCAAAGTTCATGCCTCGCGCGATCCGCGTCGGGCCGAACAGGCTCGGAACAGTCGATGTTTCGACTACTTTCGCCGCAGATTTTTATACAAATTTTATGTCATCGAGGATTTGATTCGAATGAAGTGCCTCGATGGAAACTCGTTAAATATTGTAAAAAGTGCCACAGCTTAGATATATTTACGTTTTTTTTTTTTTTGAGGGAGGGGGAGGGGGCAATTTTGCACTCTCAAATTTTAAATTTCCTAGAAACGTGCTAAAATCATCTAATAAACACTTTTGTTGCCTTTGAGAAAGTAATTTTAAGTATTCTCGCGATAGAGGACTTTAGGTTAACATAACTCTAGTAATATTAATTTGGCAATACTTGCATGCGTTTGAAAGACGACACATCGTAGAGTAATTAAAAACAAAAAGTAGTGATATTTGTTTATTCAGTCAAAAGTGACCGGTATCAGTTGAAAATACGAATGAAATTGATATATTTTGAAATTTTATTACAAAAAAAGGACGCGTTTAAAAACCACACAGACGGAATTCCGATTTTAGCTAAAAAATGGCACATGTCTGTTTCAACAAACTTCATTCAAAATTGTCTTACTTTTGCACCAAAATACGAAATTAATTATTTTTACTTAACCCTCCAGTCCTGTAACAAATAAATTCGTCGAGTCGCCCTTTGAAACTCAACAGATTCACAAAACGCAATTCTGCTTCGAGTCGAAGAATTTCGATCCTACAATTTCTGTCGGCGCGAATGAAAAGCGTGCCCGTTTCCATATTTCGCAAATCACTGGCTATCAGGATTTTGCGAAACGATTCGATCTCTCGATTTCCTTCCCAGCCCAGGCCGTCGTTTTTCACTGGCAACGTCCTCGTTTCGACCGATTGATCGTCCTATATTAACCACTTGCGCTGGCAACTGATTGCAGACCATAACGAGTGACCGAACCATGTATATAATAATTCGCCGCTTTCTTTTCGAACTCTTCGCTATGATATCGCTGGATTGAAATTATTGAAAAGTAATAAATTTATTATTTGCTTTGCCTATTTTGTTTTACTTAAATATATAATTTTACTTATTACAACATGTTATGCCTAACATAACCTATATTCTAGTTAAATACATTGACATTTAGTGTGTTTATTGTTAAATTATATTACAGATTAAAGCTGTATTCACTTTTAAATAAAATATAATTTTCTACAGTGTCAGAAAACGACATTATTATAGATATCCTTAACCAGTTGCGCTGGCAACTGATTACGGACCATAACGAGTGACCAAACCGTACACAATAATTCGCTTTCTTTTCGGACTCGTCGCTATGATATCGCTGGATTGAAATTATTGAAAAGTAATAAATTTATTATTTGCTTTGCCTATTTTGTTTTACTTAAATATATAATTTTACTTATTACAACATGTTATGCCTAACATAACCTATATTCTAGTTAAATACATTGACATTTAGTGTGTTTATTGTTAAATTATATTACAGATTAAAGCTGTATTCACTTTTAAATAAAATAAAATTTTCTACATTGTCAGAACGCGACATTATTATAGATATTCTTAATCACTTGCGCTGGCCATAACTAATTGCGGACCATAACGAGTGACCAAACCGTACCCAATAATTCGTCGTTTTCTTTTCGAACTCGTCGCTATGATATCGCTGGATAGAAATTACTGAGAATTAATAAATTTATTATTCGTTTCGCCTGAGTCATACTGAAATATACTTAAAACTGAGAAAATATTGCAGTGTTGGGACAAAAAAATTCTCGGTGTGCGTAGCAAAAGGTTAAATTGTTTCTTTCTCTCTCTGTTTCAGGTAAGGAGGGAAGTACGCGGGCGTGCCGCAGGCACACGGTTCCACGATTATTGTTTATTCCACTACGGGTAAAAGGTAATGGAGTGTAATTGCGCCGTTCTCCATTAAAGGAGGAAATTGGTTGTTCCAGCTGGGCCGGGTTGCACGATCATCGTGCCCGGACCAATGAGTGAGGGGGGAGAGAGAGAGAGAGGATAGATTTGATCCGCGAATTCCAATCGCGCCGATTCGGCTATTATATTTCGCGAGTTATATCTTCCTCGCTTTGACGATAGAGTTTAATCCTTTGCCGATATTATCGGCGGAATTTATGGCCGGGTGATACGGCCGTGGCTGAAACGCGCGCCGCCTCCGCGCGTAATTGATTAATCGCGAATCGATGCGAAACACGCGGATTCCTGGCGCCACGCGAGAAAGAGGAAATCAGATTTGTATCCGTGAATCTCGTCCAACACCACGTTAATATCTGCTTCGAATTATTACCTGTAACCGGCGCGTGGGCCGGGGTACATTTAATTTCTGCCCATGCTTGTAATCGACTTTCGATTACTCGGCCGCCGGTCGATGCCGGATATTTATGCCCGCGCGGAAATTGTACCGTCATCGAACTGGCGAAGTCTGAATGTTGTGCAGAAGGGCTGGCTCGATTTTATCATATCCTCCCCCCTGGTTCGAGGTCCGAAACGAAATTCGACTTCGATCCACGATTATTGGCGCGAAATTGTTTCGTTCGTAATTATTACTGCCATTTCATTTTTATGTGAATTTGAAAAGAATTCGAATCGATCGATTTGGGAATTTCATCGTTCGAAACCTAAACCTATGCCGATAGAAGGGATTATTTAATATGAATTCCATTGGACAAGAGATGCAGCGTGTCCGTATTTCTCGATACGATAACCACCTGTAGTAATAACGTAATAATAACAATGATGATAGTTGGAAAAAAGATGATAGTTTCAAAAAAAAAAAAAAAGGTGGAAAATAAACCACCAATTCGAATCGATCGTTTGGGAATTTCATCGTTTGAAACCTGAACCGTCCGACAGAAGGGATCATTTAATATGAATTCCGCGGAGGAGAGACGCAGCGTGCATCCCCTCTCGATACGGTAACACCTGTAGTGGTAGTAATAACGACGATAATAGTAACGCTGTCGACGTGCCCAAGCGGCGCCACGCCGGGTGGCATCGTCCAGATCCACGGCCAGCCGAGTTTCCTGTCCATTTTAATTGGGTTATTAACGGGTGCGAGCGTTTCCTGCCTCCTGTGACAAACCCGGTGCCTGTGGAAACGGCCGACCTCGCAGCTGCCGCGTCGCCTCGCCGCGTTGCATCGCGCCGGAAACCAATCTGTTCCGTTTGTCTTTCCTTTCGTTCCTTGTTCCCTCCTCGTCTCACCCCATGCGCATAAATATGCATCGTGCCACTTAAATATTACACGGCTGGAGAGATGTAGGTATCGGCGACTTTTTCCACGCCTTGTGTGTTCTTTCGACGCAGCCGAGACATGGAGACGCCGGATGTTTTTTTCTTTTTTTTTCTCTCTCTCTCTCTCCGTTGGTTATTCCCAACGATCGCGTGTCTTTCGTTTTCTTTGCGATTTGAACCCTTCGCCACCTCGGAAACATTTTTAATATCATCTAGAAACCTGGTCATTTATTTACGATCACTTCAAATCGAATGACATAATCGTTCTGTTGAAATTTTGTTTGTTATATCATCTTTCTGATGTGCGATGTCGTTTAGGTTTAATCTCTTCCGCTGGAATGACGTGTTCCACGCACGTGAAGAATTTCTCTCAGTTTTATGTATATTTAAGTAAAACAAATAATAAATTTATTTACTTCTGAATAATTTCAACCAACGAGTCGAAAAAAAGAAAGCGAATTATTGTATACGGTTCGGTCACTCGTTATGGTCCGCAGTCAGTTGCCAGCGCAAGCGATCGTTAACGTGTTTCCCAAAACACCTAAGTATATAAGGGTTAATGATACATACGGTACTTTCAATCTCCGAGAAAAGAAAAATTAATCTTCCGTTATTTCGTAAATTTTCGTAAGAAGCAACGAAAAGTTTAGTTTGTTTAGTGAATTATTCCGAATGAGTGTCAGTTAACCTACGACTGCCTCCGTCCTCGGGAATTTCTTCTTCCAAAAGTTTTCGTCTAGGCGTCTGTTCAGGTATTACACTATTTCATTATATCTCATACAACAACAAACGTACATCTACATTCGTTATAATCATCTTTACATTATATAAAGGGAAGTTTGAACTGTTAGCTCAAATAAAAGTACGACGTTCTTCTAAAAGGGACAATCGAAGGTTAAAGAAATTAATAAATTGTGTCAGTTAATTACATCAATCTTTGAGTCTCATGGACGCGTCCAGCAAAAATAATCGAGAAAACACCTCGGTTAAAATTATTATTATTGCAAATTACATATAAAATTGCATATTGCAATTTGTTGCGACTTGATCGCACTGAGATTATGTTTCGTCTCGAGTCCAAGGACTATTTAAATCTAAATCTCGTGCAATCTAGTCCACAGAATGGCGCGATCATTATTTTCGAAAGGCAAGGGAATTTTCCAAGATGGCAATGCTCTGATCTATTGTTGTTACGATTGTAAATTCTCGGCTCGAGGAGCGTGAAAATAAAGTTAAACATCTTCTTGGTACAGTCATCGGACTTGAATATTATTCAGCCATTATGGTCTGTTCTTTAAAACAAAGTTAGAAGCAGGTCCCCTCTTCCAGCATCGCTACAAACCGTGTCACTCTATATATAAAAGTTTTTATTTCTTGCGAAAGAAATCCAACGTAGATGCAGAATATCTGTGCAGTTTAAAACCGAACATTTTTTAAACTAGAATATAAGCTTGTAATATACTGTAAGTTGACTTAGGTCGTAAAGTTTTTCATATTTGTTGTTTAGAATAGTGACATAAAGTTGACTTATGAAGAATATAAAGAGTATAAAGTAGAATGAAAAGTTCTCCATATTTGTTGTTTAGAATATAAGTTTGTGACACAAAATTGGCTCACGAAGAATAGATAAAGTAGAATATAAAGTAGAATATAAAGTTCTCCATATCTGTTATTTAGAATATAAGTTTGTAACACAAAATTAGATTATAAAGAATATAAAGAGTATAAAGTAGAATATAAAGTTCTCCATACTTGTTATTTAGAATATAAGCTTATAATATAAAGTTAGCTTATAAAGAATATAAAGTAGAATATAAAGTTTTCCATACTTGTCGTTTAGAATATAAGCCTGTGACATAAAGTTGGCTTACGAAGAATATAAAAAAGATGAAGTAGAATATAAAGTTCTCCATATTTGTTATTTAGAATATAAGTATAACACAAAATTAGATTATAAAGAATATAAAGAGTATAAAGTAGAATATAAAGTTCTCCATACTTGTTATTTAGAATATAACACAAAATTAGATTATAAAGAATATAAAGCGTATAAAGTAGAATATAAAGTTCTCCATATTTGTTATTTAGAATATAAGTATAACACAAAATTAGATTATAAAGAATATAAAGAGTATAAAGTAGAATATAAAGTTCTCCATACTTGTTATTTAGAATATAAGCTTATAATATAAAGTTAGCTTACAATATAAAGTAGAATATAAAGTTCTCCATACTTGTTTAGAATATAAGCCTGTGACATAGAGTTGGCTTATGTAGAACATAAAGAATCTAAAGTTCTCTATATTTGTTATTTAGAATATAAGCTTGTGACATAAAGTTAGCTTAGAATACAAAGTTCTCCACATTTTCGGTTATATTCGTCAAGTTCATATATTCAGATTCGTTAACGTATCTTCAAGTGTCAAACTTTTACATTTCCCATGTAAAATAATCCACGTTCCAATAATAACTCTCGCGTTATTCAACTTGATCGAAAAATTACTACAACTTGGTCGCTTGAAATTTGTCATCAGTCGACCACAGTCCATCGAACTTTATCGAAGATAATCTAACAATAAGCGAAAAAATATTTCGTTCCCTATCACGAGGGCGAGTACTCCAACGATTAATGTCGCATCTTCGCGGAAACTGTCGTGCTTCCGCGCGAAACATTGTTAGAATCAAGTGACAAATTTCCGCGTATCAATTTCATTGGAGGAGGAGGAGGAGCAGTGAAAACTGCATGCCACGGGAACCTAACACACTCGAGCCTAACACACCGTAATTATTCTCGCAGCGTAGCTGTTTCCTACAAGTAAACGATCGATTGCGTGCCAACGGGAAAGCGGGAACGTACGGAATCGTGCACGTTGTTGGCGTTATATAACCGTTTCTCCGCGCGCGGTTCGCTGCCGATCTATTTCCATCGAGGCAAAAGTTATTTCGAATCGGTTCATAAATGATTCATGCGCGCGGTATTAACACCGCGCGGCGCCCGGTGGTAGAAAAGAAACCCCCGGCGAAAAAGAAGAAAACGAGGAGGGGGAGGGAGGTGAAAAGCTGAACTGGCTCTCCGCACACTCGCCGTATTCGGTGTTTGTCTCTCTATAAAACGAGTCGGCGATCGACGACGAATACGAGTCGGCGCACACCTTCGACGGCCAGGTCTCCCCGCGACGAATGCAAGAACAAAAGAAAACAATTGGCCACGTCGGCATCCTCGTCGCCGAGGATTCCCATGCATATGGATCAAGACGATCCACACATCCACTTGGTCTCTCCGCCAGGAGACGGTACGTAATCCCCGATGGCGCGCAAGCAAATCATGTTTATTCAGGAACGTATACACACAGCGATAGAGAGGGAGAGCTCTCTGGTCGCGTGTGCGTGCGATCCTAAACGCGCTGGTTATATAAGTGGAGGAGGAGGAGGTGTGTCACGGGAGCCGACAACGTCCGTTGAACGTAAGCTGGGACGTATTCACTCGCGAGAGTGTCTGACCAGCAGAGCAGCGACCAGCAGCTCGTCCGAAGGTCGTCCACGACGATTGTCGTCCCGTCTTTTTTTTTTTTTTTCTTTTCTTTTTAGTTTTACGAAGCCGATCGCTTCTCACAAGCCCGAGCCTCTCTCACCCTCTTCTCACGA